GAATAAAATAGCAACATTACATATTAGTGATGCAAATGTTGACTCAAAACATTTTAAGAAGCAACTGGCCAACTTGTATAATCAAATAAATATGTGTAAATTCTACATCATGAATTCAAAAAAAACTATCTTGAAGAAGCACTTATATACAGAAAAAGCTTCATGCTGAACATTGTTTATTATTTACCATTTCAATAATGGTAAAAAAAATTGCAAAGAAATCTAAATGCCCAACTGCCCAACAGCACTATCCTTGCATATAAGGGAACAGTTGACATAGTGATTCAATAAATACAAGTTGTTCTTGAATATTATCCCAGGGCTAATGTACTCAAGTACAAAGTCATTATAATGCTGTTTCTTCTACAGCTTTCTCTTCCTATATATCCAAAGAGGATGCCAGCATATGAGTGAAACCTAGGATGATGATCAGAATGAACTGCTCTAGGGGCTGAGGTGGAGCATATTTAGCATGCTTGAGGCCCTGGGTTTGATCCCCAGTGAGGGTACACGCGTGTACACAACCACTCACCCACACACAAAGATTGGTATAGGTTTCACACCTACACACATATGCACACACAGATTGGTATAGGTTTCACACCTACACACATATGCACACACAGATTGGTATAGGTTTCCTAATTGAAACAAAGTATAATCTTGGCTCTATCTTTATATCAAATATAAAGCCATGAGAAAATTTAAATGTGAGACCACTGAAACAAAATAAAATTATTAGAAAATAATAACCATGAACTAGTTAGTCTGATTTTAAATAAAACTGCAAAGAGTAAGATATTTTTAGTTAGTCCAGGAGAAAGTCTGTTTTATTACTTCCTTATTGTGTGATCTTGAAACATTCCCCTGAACTTTTTGAATTAGGCTTTCTCAAAACACCAAAATAATCCTGAACTGCCAATTGTTTTGAATATTGAATGAATAGATGAGAGCTTTCAGCTTTCTTTTCTTAAAGTTCACATTTGTATACTGTGTGCATGCATGTATATGCTACAACAAATCCCATTAATATATTTAGTTATAATACAATAATAAAATACAGGAAAAAAGTTTAAAACTAAAGAATGTTCATTACTGAGAATGTGACACTAATATACTGTAACATGCAACTGGACAGATGTTAGGTGACCTCAGTGCCTTAGTACACTGCCCTAAGTGTCTAACATAGGATGTTTGGATCTGCACATTGGCTTACTCAGTTGCTTTGCAGAATATTTATCAAATCAGAAAAAAAAAGAAAGCAAAAGGAACACATTGTACTTTAAGAATTTCTTAAAACATGCACTTAAAATTCA